TCTCTCTCTCTCTCTCTCTCTCTTTCACACTCGATGATTCTCGACTGGTTATCAGCGGCGATCGGTTGAAGGTAGCCGCTTATCATCGTTCACCGAATAACCCAGTGTCCCAGTTGCGATATCGATTTTACGAGCACCTGAAACCGTTGTTCCGTTGCCGTGACTTCTTTCCGTTGGAACGTTGTAACGTTGTTGCAACGCTGCCTCGAATTCGTAGCCGAAATCGAGAACATCGAAGCAACCGTTTCTTTTTCTTTTTCAGAGCTTTTTCTGCAATACTCGCCGGTAAGACGGCAGCAAAATTAGGCGAAAGCTTACAAAACGTACACATAATGAGTGAAAACATAAACAAAACATTTGAAACTAGCTTATTTAGATATAAATTCAAGATACTTGGCTGATTCATAATTTTATAAATGAAATTTTTATAATTCTTGAGAGTATGATTAATTTTTATTATTTTATTATAATAATATTACTATTAATTTTTATCATATGATTATATGATCACTATGTAATAATAGCGTAGCGATGGATTCTCACAAGTGTTATGCCGCCGTATTGGCACCTTTTGACCGTTAATGCTTAAATTCGATGAATTTCGGACGTTTGTAACGCATGGTGCAACTCCGCGATGTGAGGATGGCCTAATGGCGGCGGTTCGTCGCCCTGCGCCCGGTTCAATCCCCCTTTCGTCGTCTGGAAGAGCTGTGGCGGCGAGGGCGCGCCGCGAAGCTCGCGAATCGAGAGGGTGAAGCAGCCAGGGGCTGCCGTCCGAACTTTCCCCCTCCACCAGTCATTTCCCCTTCCACCCACGGCGCCCCTCCCCCTGCTTAGTCGCAGACGCGGTGGTGGGGGGCTTGAACTCTGCTGTAACGGTGTTGCAGCTATGAACCGGGAGGTGTCGTGACGCTGTAACTCGCGTCTGACGTCATCGATTTCGACGTCACAGTGGTCCGTGTCCCCCACGCGCAGGCTGGAACCACCCCTAAAGCGTGACGTCATCGTTGTTCGATCCGCTCATTGTCAGACGATTTTTCCCTCTGCTCAGAAATTTCGTGGAGATTCGAGATCAACCTTTTTTTTTTCTCTCTCTCGAATCATGGCCAAAAGACAAGATCAGATGATTTTTTTCTTCTAGAGAATTTTTTTTTTTTTTTTTTAACCCTTTGAACTCGTATGTCATGCTGAAGGTGAAAATCATCACACTTTAGAATATTAGATTATGAAAAATAGATCATATAATAATAATAATAGCAGTGTTATAATAACATGATGATAATAAATAAAAAAAACAGTGAATTTTATCGTTGTATATTAATTTACTTAATTCACATTCATAAATGAATCGAGTTCAAAGGGTTAAAATTATTTCCTACTGTTTGTTTTATTAAAAATTATCGATCCCAAGGAGATTTTTAACCATTTCTCCGGCACTTCTCGCGAGTTGTTGTTTCGATTGCCTCGCTCCCGAAAGAGAAGGGAATCGATCCGATTATTAAGAAAGTTTTCGAGCCTTTTACGCGGGCTGTTTTCACACATCGAGCAGCTGCTCTAATCCCTTCGAGAGAACTATTTATAAATTTCCGATACGGGGCGAACTCGACACGATTCAGCGATTTATTTGGTATACCTGGAGGCCTCGTTGCTAATTAAATTGGCGAAAATTTCCTTCCAATGGAAGGTCGTTTTCGAATAGAATTTTATGAAGGACGACGTCCGATTATGCACACACGTGCGACCTAATCCACGTGTCTGATCTTCATTCAAATTTTTCAAGTTAGAGCTCGGAACAACATCATCCCCTGTTTACGGATTTGCGAATTGTTCGAAGTTCGAATAAACTGCATTCTAACAATCTGAATTTTATGAAATTCCATTTTATTGATTTTATCAAGGACAATTCCGTAGAAACTTCATGAACATCGTGTGTATTTCTATTATCAAGTGCACGTGCCAGTTGTAAATTTTTCGAGTATCGAACGCGGACAAATTCAATCA